TGCAAAGTTACAAAGAAAATATGGAATGGATTTTTCCATTAAGGTCTCTGCACCCAGATAGACTAGACTGGAATTGTTTCCAGCAATAGAAACAGTGCTCTGGGACTGGAATGACAGCCCCCAGAGTAGAATAACGGTCCCTAGCAATAGAATCTGTGTTCTGGGACTGGAATAACAGGGTGCACAGTGGAATGACAGCTCCTGGGAATAGCAGCATTCTGGGAATGGAATTCCAGTCTGGGGGCCCTCATTCGAATCCCAGAATGCTTCTGCTATTCCCTGGTATTGTCATTTCACTCTGGGAGCTGTCATTCCAGTCCCAGAGTAGTCTGTCTGGGCCCAGAGACCTTAACGGGAAATCCATTCTGCATTTTCTTTGCAACTTTGTCTGTGCTGCCATGCATTTCAGTGACGTGGAGCTCAAGAAGTTTCACTTTCCAGTGTTTGTATAGTTGCAGCTGTTGTTTGCTGGAGTTGTTTCCTTGCAAATACAGGGTTGATGTTTTGAGCCAGCTTGTCTCTGCTGAATAGTCCTGAGAAGGGGTGCCTGAGTGAGTACTCTAACCTGGGAACCAGCCAAAGGGGGACGTTACACTGGAGAGCTGCCACTCTGAGTAGACCTTGGGGGGGGGGGGGGGGGAGGAAGAAGCTTGCAATGCCCAGCCATTTTATGTTCCTAGGCTCAGAGCATTTAATATTTTTAGTTTATATTTTTAGTTTCTGCTGTGATTCTTGTGCTTTTTCTTGATGTTTTATTTTAAAAATTGCATTGCCAAACCACACTATTCCCCAACCATTCCATTTTAGGCAGGCATCTTTTTTGTGGGGGGAGGCTTGGAAGGTGTCAGTTATCAAAGACTGTTTAATAAACAAAATATTGCAAGAGTTTTAAGCATATTTGTATTTTAAGTAAAAAATTATATCTTTAATTGTGTTCGTCTCTTTTATAAAGTTTATATCTCTGCTACCTGGCGTTACATTTTATGACACACATGGCCTGACCCCACAAATTCCTATTTATGTCAGTCCCGGCCCTTGTAACAAATGAATTCGATACCCCTGCGCTATTTAATCAGTCATCCCCTTGCACTTTGCAAACTGTTTCCTTTGCTTAGTGATAAGGATCCTAAGATCACTCTGGCAATAGCAAAATTTGTTTGTCCTTTTAGCCCTTGTGTCCAAAAATGAGGAATGATTGTGGGCACTCCTTTAGGGTATGAATTGCTGAGAGAACTGTTTGGCCCAGGCATGCTTCTTGGAATCCCCTCTCTTATACTAAATGTCACAGACGGGCAAAACATTCATGACTATGGCCTTCCTTGTCCAGCTGAAAGAAGCGCCGTCTGAAGTAGGAACCAATTCTTTCTCTTCTTGTTTGCCAGTCACTGCCCGCTGCTCACTGTTGCTTTTACACATGTGCATACATACAAAGTCTTATACTAAAGCAGACCATCAGTCCATCAAGGTCAGTATTGTCTACTCAGACTGGCAGCAGATCTCCAAGATCTCAGGCAGAGGTCTTAAACATCACCTACTGCCTGCTCTGCCTGATCCTTTTAACTGGGATTGAACCTGGGACCTTTTGAAATACCTTGGTTCCAAAATATGTAGTCAAATTCTGCCTCCAAGGCGTTTTCAGTAGATTAACCCAGCTGCTTATTGGAAGAGAGGTACCTTGCTGTAAGAGGAAAGAGAGCTCAGAGTTTCTCCTAATCAGCAGGATGGTGCCATCTTGCCATGGACTGATGGGAAGTGGAATGGTTCAGCTTGGTCCACTTAAAACCATGTTAACCAGCAGACGTCCACTGTGTGTCTTGGTTAAATGTGAGTACAAGTAGAGATTGAAGCTATTCTAAACATTTGCAGTAGAAAACTCTTCAGCACTATTGTATGTTACTTGTTTTCAGGAAGTAAAACTACTCCCCCCCCCTTTCTCTCCCCTTAGGAGCAGCCCTCTTACACAGGATATGGTTCTCACTACTGGAATTCACAGCCCAGAGCTTCTTACCCCAATCCATATCCTGCTGGACCTGAGCTCCAAGGCCAGGTAAAGTAATAGGGCAGTATTTTGTGAGTTTGTAACCGAGGTTTTCCACTTTTGGAGAATGACCTTGGATGGAGCCATCTGTTTGCTGCCTAGGGAATGGACCGTGTTGCCATGCTGAAAGTTATTTTAAGTGGTATTCATCAGAAGAACAGATCTGACTTCTGCAAGGTCTTCTGTGCTGCAGTTGTTCTGTCACTCTTAGGTGATCTGGTATTAGCATCTTGAGTGTGAAACACTGACTCGTGATGTTGATATGATGTAAGGACCGTTACACCTGATTGTTTGCCTTGCACAGCAGACTGGAGAGTTCTTAGTCTTGTGTCTGAGTCTCTGTCTTGATTCCTGCCCTTTGTCCACCAAATCTAGTAATATCAAAAACTGTAAAACACTTCTAAAATACCTGAGAATATGGGTATAAGTGTCGTTTGTTGGTACAGTGCAGCTTCCTCTATATGGAGTGTGTGGTGGAGGTAAGAATTGGACTACCTGAACTTATGATTGGTAGCTTTCACTTACTACTGTACTGTTCTAGCTCTCAATCTTGTCTGTTTTGCAACACTGGTCCCCCAAAAAGTGGAATGAGCCTGTGACTGCTACTCTTTTGGAAGGGCGGGACTACACATATGGTGAAAGTAGCCAAGCTTTTTCCAAGCTAGGGAAAACCCTAGAAGGTAAAAAGCATTAATTTGCATAGATGTGAACTGAAGTATCATTCTTTTCTTCCAAACAACTTAAACAGAAAACCCTAATTTCTTCAGTTCACAGCAAGAGATTGGATAACTACAGAGAAGGGGTTAAAAACAATGTGCACAGTTCCTCTCCAGTTTAACAAATTAATGTTATCAGAATGTATTATTTTTATTTAATTCAGAATAGATCTATGTCACCTCTCCAGAGAACCTGCTGAAGGTGGTTTTTAAAAGGAATTGAGACTTTTTTTGAATTTTTTTTAATGAGACTACTCATTCAACCCAATGGCTTTGAGCAGTATCACACTAAGAAAATTAAAAACAATCCTAATAATCCAACTCCAGACTCAGACTTATTGATTTATTCATATTGTTATATCTTGCTATAGCTTGGAAAAGAACTTTGCAACAGCCAAAGTGGCTTTGTGTTCACTACCTTCTAGGAGCACTCAGGTTCTCTCCAGTAGGTATATTTGCCCTTCCTTGAAGAAGCGGTAAAATCCATAATTCTCTTATATCTAACACATTCCAAGATACACACATAACCTATTTGAATAAGGAAGCTTCTTATAGTGACTATCCATTACCTGAGAAGGTAATGCATTTAATCTGAATAACGTAAACACTCTTATTTGAATAATCATGGTGTTTACCTGAAGGTGAGGATTAAAGTGATCCCCACTAGAGGGCACTCACTGACTGAGTACAGTGGGGTTTTTTGCAGGATAATTACTTGTTCTCTGAGTAAAGTCACTGTGCACTCACCGTTGAGCATGGTACACAGTAAGTGATAGGATGACACAGTCCCAGCCTTTGCATTTGGACCTTCTGACCCCAAACTGCAGAACTGTACAATTCAGAGATCCAGGAGGTCTAACAGTGCACTGTCTTTCATTCAGCAGAATCTGGCAGGCAGATACTAAGGGCTCTCACTATAGGACTGTTGCCTTGCTTGATTCCAAGGGAATAGTTAGTGCTGAGAGTTGCAGTAAATCTTGTATGGAAGCTATGTTGTACAGACAAAGACTGTGTGGTTTTCTATGCTAGAACTGAAGGGTGTTTTTGTCCATTTAAAAACTGTATGATCTGAAAAGGTTCAGTGGATGGGTTTCTCCAGTAACTCCCACAAAGCTATTAAAGTTACAGGAGTCATCCTTGAGCCAAGTGCTAATAATCCTAGCTACAGCTCTTGACCAGGAATTTCTGAAATGTCATAATTTGCTTACTGGGCTGATTGGTTTAAATATCCCTTCTTTGTCTACTAGGGGATCGATCATTCCTATACAAATGGCGTTTATGGCACTCCATACTCAGCTCCTGGGACAGGACCTCCTCCGTATCCCAATCTTCCACAATCAAATACCTATTATTCTACAGGGCATCCTCCTGTCCCTTATTCTACAGAGTCTCCTGGATTGTACCAATCTCAGTCACCAGCTTCCAACTGGAATTACCCCCCACCTGACTGTCCAGCAGAAGGTTCTATGGTGAGGAGGCAAGTGCCAGGATATGCCCAGCCTCCGGTAAGGAAACTCTTGTGGGCAGTTGTGTGATTTGTAATGGCTGAACTGATTAGCCAGATCCCTCTACCGTAGACATGGCATGATGAGTTTAGTGCTTCTAGGCTCAAAGTAGTTGGATTTCGACACTTAAACTTTTCTTGATTTGCTGATACAGCCTTCAGACACGAAGAATCTACCACTTTTTCTTGGTGCATTTTCCAGTTACCTGGGCATGTTTACATAGTATATTTTATCTCTGGCCTGGCAGCCCAATCCTAATCATGTTCACCAAGAAAAAAGTTTCAGAGTTCAATAGGACTTGCTTTCTGATAGGTATGCCTAGCATTTCAACCTACATCCTATTCCCATGTCCACTGTGATCTCATATACTCAGAAGTATTGAACTTGTAGGAGATGATGAGCTTTATGCAGATAATCCCATATTACAGATTCCCTACAGAGGATGAAATTACAATTTGAGGGAAATATTCAGGATTGCCCATGCTTGCTCCGTAAAGTGATATGAATCATAGCCACTTGCTTATATTTCTTTCTATAGAAAGCACACTGAATTTACTGCCAGATTTGATCTGAGTTGGTAGATCTTTATGATTAGGACTGTTGCCAGTTAAAGGGATTATAACTGATCATATGAACTTTAGTCAATTATATAGATTAAATCTACATAAATTGCATTGGAGGGGGGAAATATTTTTAGCTATACTGCTTGTGCCTACTGCAATGTGTAACCTTAGAGGCATCCCCCTCCCAACACAGGTAGAAATGCCTCTTACAATGAAATTTGCAATCTGCAGTTTTTATAAGTTCTTGTGTATTAAAGTGTTCTCCCAGTTGATTTTTTTTTTTACTATCAAGATGTTTTTAATGAATTGGGTGAACGAAGAAATAATTTTTTTCTTTCCCCTGCAGACACCTGGCTTTCCTGTCCCACCCCATCCATATGGTGACTGCAATCATGGTATTCCTCAACAGGGGCCACCGCCACCCCAGCCAAGGCTTCAAGATTCAACATGGCGGGCTCCTGGCGTTTATGGGATGCAGCCTCCTTATGGTTGGTCTCCTGCATCAACAGGACATGGGAATCGATATGCTGCTGAATCCTCTTCACCTTGGCCTGCCAATGGAGCATCTGCTCCACATCCTCAAATTAACAGTGCAAAGGTACCTTTTTAAGACATACAAAGAGATCACCTTTCCCTTGTGCTGCAGAGTTCAGTTTGCTTAGCCCTCCCCTTCACCGGATATACAGAATGTGCCTCTTTGCTTTGGCAAAGGATGAAGGTAGTGGTGGTACTATGCATTCTAACTTACCAGGTCACCTTGCCCTGGCTACTCTTAGTGATATTACTTGTTCAGTTGCTGCCTCAGCTTGGACCCTTGGGCAGGTAGTGTCAGACACTGCGTTCCAGCTCATCAGTGACAGGAAGGAAAGCTTCCTGTCCTTAAATTGCACCTTTTGCTTCTGATTTAAATGCCTAAGGGATGTGAGGGCTTCTGATTTAAATGGCTAAGGGATGTGAGCCTTGGCCTGTATCCCATGTCTGTGGGCTTAATCTTCTGGAAAGGACCAGAGTTCTACTTTCTGTTGGTGTTTGCAGGATGTGCATATCCAGTCTGTTGTATTTCCTAGTGAATTTATGCTCCAGTTCTCTTCCCTTCAGAAAAAGGGTATAGTGTTTGGTACCACGTATATCTTGCACCTTTGCCGCTTGGTGCTCTTGTGGCTCCATAGGTATGATAGCGCAGATACTAATGCTCAAGGTTTCTGGTAAAACGTCAGTTCCCCTTCGTCCTATGGACAGTTGAGGTGGTCTGCATATAATCTTGACACTCCTGTGCTGTTCTTCAGTTGCTAGAGCATGCATAAACCAGGAGAACTTAGTCTGCCAAGCTTCTGTCATTCTTGTTTTAGAACTGTTTATGGGTGGCAGAGTTCATAGGGAAGATCACCTGGGAGCCAGGTTACTGGGTGATAGCATATTGTGATGTCATTCTGACAGGTTCAGAGCTCATGTCTTGTGTCTAGTATCTTTCAGGGCCTGAACCTCTTATGTACTACCATCCTGACCATGCAGACCTTGCTCAAGAGCAGAGAAACAGGCTGGCAATATTGGCTGCCAGGGGATCTGCATGCACTTCACTTTTGATGCAAGATGTGGGGTGATGGAATTGGTGGAGCTAGCTACAATGTTAAGGGCTCTTGTTTCTCACTTTAGGACTCCTCTTACAACCAATTGGAGCAAGGAACTAACCAGCACAGCTACTTCCCTGAAGCCACTCATCTGCCTCCTGGGACCATGAATGATCACAAGCTGGCGCAGCATGACACTAAGCCACATGCTTCCAACACCAAAGTGCAGTACAGTGCGCAGCCCCAGCTATATAATAATGTACAGAAAAAGTCGCCTGTGGCTGTTGACCATGGATCAGGTTTCAAAACCAACGGGCAGCTTCCATCAGAACTATCAGATGTGCAGCCAGGAGTTCGAAAGGTTATAGGGGTTATGGAAGGGGTTGAACTGCTAGAGGAAGAGGTGGATGAATTTGTCGGAAAAAAAACGGACAAAGGCTACCGGCTACTAGAGGAAATGCTGACCAAGAAGCTGTTGGAGCTGGACTCCATAGAGACAGGAGGTCAGGAGAGTGTACGCCAGGCAAGGAAAGAGGCTGTTCACAGAATCCAGGCCATACTGGAAGAACTGGAAAGAAAGGGGCTTTAAGTTGGGGATAGCAGCAGTCCTAAGGCCTGGAGTTCTCAAAGAACTGTGTCTTTGTTCATTCCCCAGCTCTTTTGACATCAAAAGCAATAAGTGGTAACTTGATTTTAAAATCACATGGTAAATTGACGAAGACTAAATTCTTAGCCTGATGATCCTGCAAATGAATATAGGGAAAGCAGCTGACCCTAATGACTGAAGACTAGCTAGTAGCTTCCCTAGTTATTAGCACGCTTTTGCTCCACAGGAGGATTATAATTCTTTAAGGGGCATTCTGAAGAAAGGCTGTGAGTCTCTGAAGACAGAGCTTTTGGAGCACCATTGACTTCTCAGAACGGCTGTTGTGTCAGACTCTGCAAGGTACAAAGACATTTCAGTTGCAACACAGCACCAGTAAAATCAAGACAACGGTCTCCTTAAGCTGCTCCTTCTTGTATTATTTACAGGTTCCTCACTCTTATCATAGAAATTGTGTTGTGTTCTATATCGTTGGGAGTACATCCTGCTAAACTGAAGCCCTTTTGATGAGCCAGTCAATAGGGCAACCAAAGCCAGTATAGCTGTCCTGCTGTTTTACTGTACCGTGGAGGTATAATTATGATGCTTTTATAGGATAGGTGGAAGGAACCAAGGAAAAGATTTGACTGTTGCCTGTGCAAGACGCAGTGCTAGCAAGTGGGGTGAATGATTGTAAGAACTCTGTCCACAAATGCCATTGGCCAAATGTGTTAGTGATATTTCATATGTTGCTTTACAAAAAAAAATCAGTTCTATCTGTGTAACTGGTGATTCTGTACAATGGCTGTCTGGAGGGGGACACGTAAGGCCACTACTGTAAATATCTTGTTTGTCCCAAAGTGGTCTTTGTTCCCTAAGGTGAGAAATAAACGTCCAAGTTTTTTAATGCAGAGTTTGCAAATGACAATATTGGAGTCAAACAATTAAAATGATATTGAGTGTGACCACACAAATGGCTTGGTATTCTGTCTTAAGTGACCTACTTTCTATCTTGTGTAAGAGATAGAGGTGTGTGATAGACTTGATAAGAACAGCTGCTTCCTATGACCTGATGCTTAGGGCATCTTTGGCAAGAAGATCTGTGCCCCAACGGAATGACTTCCCTTTTATCTTCACACCTGTTATCAGAGACCAGTTGTATTGCCAGATTGTGACCACAGCACAAAGTGTTCTGTATTAGATTCCTTGCATTTTTGGGGGAGAGGGGTCATAACACTGGGTTAAGGTGCGTTAAACAATTAGCCTTCACAATATCTCATTCCTTGTTACTTCCATTTTTGTAGGTGTTTACCGTTGGGTTGCTTACAAACTTAAATAAAGTTTTGACTTCTGTGTGAGTCAGATGCATGGATGTTGAAACTAGGACTGCTGATTTGTAAATTAGGGAGCCAGTGTGGTGAATAAACTAGACTGGAATCCAGTAGCACCTTAGAGATCAACAAGATTTTTGGGGTATAAGTTATCAAAAATCAGAAGAGACCCTCAAAAGCTTATACCCAGAAAATCTTTTTGGTGTCTAAGGTGATATGGACTCAAATCATGCTGTTCTGCTGCACACCAATAGGGCTGCCTTCTGAAACTATCTTCATTTGTTGGATAGTTCAAGTCCTGGCTCATTCACGAAATGTTACCTTGAGCGAATCATTCTTTCTTAGCCAAACCTACCTTAAACAGGAAGCTATGAGTGCTAGGACTAGACCTATGGTATTGCATTGAGTGCCCTGGAGGAAGCACAGTATTAACTCTTGTGAGCATGCTCAGGAGATCAGTACTGTAGGCTCTGTTTTGTACTTATGAACAGAATAGTCACAATAGAACCGAATCAGTGAGATGAGTAACAGAAGTTCTGAAAGACTGGGCACGGAAAAACAAAGCTTAAAAGATGCTTGGGATTCTTAAGCTTCTTCTTTTGTGTGCACTCTCTCACTTTTTTTTGCAGTAACAGAAGTTCTGAAAGACTGGGCACTTGGAAAAACAAAGCTTAAAAGACGCTTGGGATTCTTAAGCTGCTGCTTTTGCGTGCACTCTCTCACTTTTTTCCCCCACCAAGTCTTTCAGAACTTTGATTCAGGTGGGTAGGCGTGTTGGTCTGAAGCAACAGAACAGAGTTAGAGTCCAGTGGTGCTTTTAAGACCAACAAAGTTTAATTCTGGGCATAAGCTTTCATGTGCATGCACACTTCTTCAGATACATTGAAACGAGACTTCCTCAACCATGGCATATGGGGAGGTAGTTGCCTACCTGAGATGCTATATACTTGCGTGTAATAAGCCACAGGGAGCACTCTGTTTTTGCTTTTTCCTACAACAGAGTTCAGAGCTTGCTTGTGTATATCACTGGGACAGATTCTGGAATCAGGAAGTAAGAATACTAAAAAACACAGGTCTACAAAAATTGTCTGAATGTAATCAGTAGGAGAGAATACATTCTGCCCCTTGTCCCCTTATATTCCATGCTAATTTCCGAACCAGTAAGTCCTTAGTCTAATTTGCAGGTTGTAACGATGTTTGGTTTGAGGTACTTAGCTTTTCTTGCCTCCAGACTGGGCATTCTAGGGAAGGAGGGAGGGCATGGATGAGGGTTTCAGTGTTCTCACAAATCGCTAGTGATGTCTGGATGCAGCACCATAAGGATTTGTGGTGCTAGAAGGGTTATGTCTTGAAAGCAAGTATTCTGTCGGTATTTGTGAAAGGGATCTCAATATTCTTTATGGAATAAAGACAGTCTTGGTTTTAAATAAGCAGAAAATACATTCAGGATCATTTATTTGGCTGTAGTGCATATTAAGAAAGAAGCAGTAAACATTGCTCTTGCCTGATAGTTCCTGTTCAGTAAGCCTTCTGTGTTGGTTGTGTCAGCTTATATAACAACCCATCTCTGAGATTTTCCTGGGGGATTACTGTATTTTGAAAAGCAAGCGTTGGAACAGCTGCTACGTAAAACTAAGAGGCATCAGTCAGTTACTAGTCAGAAAAAAATATCTGTTGCAATAGAATGTAGGACTCTCTTTTGGATGTAAAATCCTAATTTCAAACCTGCCAAAAGCCATTTCATTCCATTAACCAGAACCAGAAGGGTACCTTGAACTAAAGATGGAAGTAGAAGGAAAATGTTTTGTTATACACCCTAATAACAATGTAATACTATTAGTTGAAATAGATGGGGGTCAGGAGAAACAGCTGTATTGTAACTGTATGGCTACAGTGGGCTGCATTCAGTCAGTGGACTCCATGCTACTTCATTGTCTTTAAAAATCTAGAAAATCCCCCTCTTCATGAGGAGATAATCTTCTCATCCTTGTTGGAAACCTTCTGTTCACAAGTAGTTATGCAACCAGATCAAAATCTGCCAAAAGACAGCATATTAACCAGGCACCAGAATCACTAGCTGCTTATTATCTAAGTGTTCTGGTTGGGAGCTAGAAACTTATGAAATACGATTCCTGTGACGGAACCAATCATATTATTAGTAGCTGTTAATCATCCCTATAGTTGTGTTTATCTGTTTAGTTTACAGCCCACTTTTCTCACTGGGCTTCAAGGCAGATATTTGCAAGTTTGATAATAGTAAACGGGCTGGTATGATATGGGAAGAACCGTGTCTCCGTTTAAGAGCATCTGCTTGGCATGCAGAAGGTCCTAGGTTCAATCCCCAGCATCTTGAGTTGAAAGGACCAGGCAGGAGATGATGTGAAGGCCCTCAGTCTAAGACCCTGAAGAGCCGCTGCCAGTTTGAGTAGACAATACTGACCTAGATGGACCGATGGTCTGATTCAGTATAAGGCAGCTTCATGTGTTTGTGTGATAACAAAAGTAGCTGAAGAAGGCTCCCTTGAAAAACAAAATTTTCTAAATTATCCCCCCAATCCTACAACACTGGTCAGGTGAAGACTGGATATGTTCCAGGAGGGACTATGTCGAGACTGCTGAGTGTTGGTTAAACGGGGGGAGGGACTCAGCTTGAAACACCTGCAAACTTATAGACTGCTTGAAGGATGGCATCTCCATGCTATCTCCCCCTCAATTCATTGTAGGCCCCTAAAGTTGTATATGCTGAATGAAAATTATGTTCAGTGGTAGTGTTTCCCTGCACTAACCTGAGCTTCCCACCCCTGGCTGGCTTTTTCAGGCTTTTTAAAATTGGCTACTGAATGTTGCAACAATAGCTCCTCTGAATTCCCAGCTCTCATTTTTAAAAGCATGTAGCCCCTTTCCTCGTGGAGCTGGACGGGGCTAACAATTTACTTAACAAGGAAATCTGGGGATTCAGAGGTACTTGTGGATCATTATACTGCTATAGTGAGATGTCAGTTTGCTGGTCTTAAAACCTGAAACAGCCCTCTGGGTGCAGGGGAGAGAGCAGCTATGCCAGGTGGGGCGGGGCTGAGGAAGGAAAATAATGTGGGTGCGGGCGGACCCTCCCATCCCCATGACATACAAACATACTGACTGAGATCATTCCAAAAAGATGGTACCAAATCAGGTTAGGGAAAAAAAAGAACACAGCGAAGCAGAGGAAAATGTGGTAAGTATATGATCAGGAGATGACATGGTGTGGATGTCCCCTCCCCCTCAAAAAAAGCCCACTCTGGTTTGTGTGCCAAACTGGAGCAAACACTCCATGTGGTAGCCACCCAACATGGCTACCCCACTGAAAGAGATACTCCCTGGCTACTGAAGGAGAGTGACAGATTGTGGAGGGTGATACCCTGGATTCCTCAGATGCATCTAGACAGACTGGACATCATAATCTGGCACCAGGAATCCTTGGTTCCTAAATGAAGTACTGGTTGCACACTGTTCAGTTTGCTATAACAGCCAAGTTACAAATGTCAAAATATTCCTTGGAGCCAAAGATGTGCTTGGGGAGAGCAGCATACCTTTTTTTTTTTTTGAAACCCCCAAGAGGGTAATTTTATTGGTTTTTCAATAAACTACATAACTACAACAGAAAATATAGGAAGGGAGACTACAACTAGGGAAAAAGAAAAGATACCCACACTAACTTAAAAACCCAAGAATAGGAGATCCTTTCCATGTTAAACTACATGTTAGTAAATACGTGTTAGTATAACAATATACTTGTGAGTTATTTTTAACTACTGCTTCAATGTTAGTAATTTTAATATTTTGAGAACA